ATCTTGGACTGGACCAGCAGATGCCTTAGAATCATGGAATGTGAAGGTTGATAGGCTCTCATACATCTGGTCCACACTCCTTGTTTGGTTTGGATTGGTTTCTGCCAGAGGTTATATGTGCTTGCCAGAGAGATAGAGAGACAGAGAAAGAGACAAGAGGAAGAAATGACCCACTATGGGGAATGGTTACACCACAATGGCTTCTCCTACATTACTCCATTCTGTTGGGATTGTGGGCATGCACATACACAGGCCCAGTGTGTTTTTCAAGCCACCAGGGACAAGATTCAAGCCACATGGTCAGCCATGTGGAATCCGGCTTCCTTAATCACTAGGTCATAGGGCCAACTCTTTAAAAAAAATATTTTTTTATGCATGATAACACATGTATACATGAGCAAGAGAAAGAAAAAGAGAGAATTCCCAAAAGGGAGGTCAGGCTGCATTATTTTTTCCTCAAATTCTCCATCCTGTCAGAATCCTGGGCCTGTGTGCCTGTGCCTGGCGTGTTGTTGTCAGGGCCAGGATTTGAACCACAGTCAGCCATGTGGGACCTGGTCTCCTTCCCCTCCCACAGTGCTTAAGCACTGCTTCAGGGCCAGCCCTCCTTCCTATTTTAACCATGTTTTGAGCATTTTTATTGGTTTTGGAGCCAATTTCTCCCTGGATTTCATTTAGACATCATGATAGTCCTATGAGATGCAGATTATCATCCTCTTTCATAGGTTAGGAACCTGAGGTTCAGAGAAGCTCCTGGTTGGAGGACATGCCCCGTAGGTGTCAGAGCTGGACTTCCACCTGGTCAGCCTGGCTTCAAAGTGTATCCCTTCACCATGCTGATTCCCTGACCAGTGTCAGCAGTAGAGGCTTGTTGCAAGCCAACTGACCTGCCGCCTCTGTGTTTGGGCTACTGTCTGGGGACAGGGAAGTGCTGGATGCAACTTTTGGCTTACCCCAGTTTCCCTGGGCCTGGCCTTGCCCTCTTCCCTCCATCTCAGGTTGCTGGGAGTTCCTTGGGTGAAGGGCCTTTTTTTTTTTTTTTTTTTCCCCTCTCTTTAAAAATTTTGTTATAGGGCATGTGCATTCACTGGATAGAGAGACAGAGAGAGGTAAAGTAAGAAAACACACTGTAATCCTTTATCTTCTTTTCTCTTTTGAGCATGCACGCACATGCACCTGGCATGTTTATTAAGCCCCTGGGTTCAGGCCTTGAAACACATAGATGGCCATGTGGGATCCTGCCACCTTAACCACTATCCCTCTTTTCTCTCTCTCTCTCTTCTTTTTTCGGAGAGGTTTTTGCTATAGGGTGCGTGCACTCACTGGAAAGACAGAGAGAGACAGAGAGACAGAAAGTGAGAAATCACTCCCCAGGAGGGATGGCCATGCCACAATCCCTTCTCCTCCATTCTCTTCTCGGGATCTTTGGTATGCACGTACACGCGTCCTGGGTGAGTTTAAGCCACCGGGTCTGGGACTTGAACCACAGTTGAACACATGGGAGTCCAGCTACACAGCCATTACTCTATCTGCTGGTCCCTCCTTTTTCTCTTTGAAGCTTCTTTCTTTCTTCCAACAGAGAGACATAAAGGGGTGGAGAGATACTCCAACAGGATCCTCATGCTACAATCTATTCAGTCTCAGCTGGCCCTTATGATGGGCACATGTATTGTGAGTTCAGGAAGATCCTGGGACTTGAACCCAGGACCTTTCCAAAATGCATCTATTTGCATTACTGCTGCACCACCTGTTCCCTAGAGGGTTTCTTAATATTTGCCTGGCTCATCTCCCATTCAGAGAAACTAAGATAGGGCCAGTATGAAGAGAATGGGGAGAAAAGGGTCCTGACCCTTGGCCCCAGACTGTTCTGTCCCCAAAACTAATTCTGATCTGCACTCAGGCCTCTATTCCAACCCTGATCATGCTTTTAATGTTTAACCCACAGGCCAGTCCTGGCCCTGGTTAAAAAGCAGTGAAAGCATTCTACAATCTTTGATGCCCTCTCCTCAGCCTATGTCATCAGTTTAGATACCTGTTGTCACAGAGTCGGAGCCCAGGAAGGGCCTGCTGACTCACAGCTCTCTGAGCTGTAGTGGGATGACTCACTTGTTCTTGCGTCATGCACGTAGCTGCCAAGGTGCTAGATTCTCTCTTGCTAAGTGCATAGTCTTAAAACAGTTTTCCAAATCCATCGAGGAAAGGAGAAAATGTGTATTCTCATCCTTCTCTCCCCACTGTCTCCCTTTCTTCCTCACCTAGGACACTCTTACTCACCTTTCAAGATCCTGCTCTGTGAGGGACATCTCCCCAAGAAGCCCGCCCTGACCCCTCCAGGCTGAGTAAGGTGGGTAGCCTCTCCTCCAGCCTGCCAAACGCATAGTCACACACATATGCCTTACCCCATCCTTTGAAGGCTAGGACATCTTTCTCATCTTTGTGTCCCCAGAACCTGAAATAGTAAATACTTGATGTTAAATTCAGAGGTGATGATTATTTACTGCTGCCTAAAAATTACCCAAAACGTGGTGGCCCAGAACAGCACACATTTCTTATCTCACAATGTCTGTGGGTCAGGAATCCAGGCATGCACAAAGGGACTCTGGCTCAGGTCTCTCATAGGCTCTAGTCTTCTCCAGGCTCTGCCAGATTTTGTCTGCTTCCAGGCTCCCTCTCTTGAGTGTTAGCATAATTATTTCCTTGCATCTAGGCTGTTGGACCAAGGGCCTCAGTTTCTTGTGGGTTGTTGGCTGTTGCTGCTTGGCCTCTTTCTCCAAAGAACAGCTCATGACACGGTAATTGGAGTTGATGAGAGTAAGCAAATAAGAGGGCAAGGGGTAATGAGGAAGACAGAAGCCGGAATCTCCGGAGACTTAATCTCAGAAGTAACATCCCATCGTTTTTGCTGTATTCTGTACCTTAGAGGTGAGTCTAAAGATTCAGTCTACCCTCAAGAAGAGGGAATTACCCAAGGGTATAGATACCAGGAGGCCAGGATCATGGGGCTGTCTCAGAGACTGTCTGCCAAGAGGCCTGCAATTCCAGACCCATCACATTGCCAGAGTTCAAAGCCCTGCTTATTCACATACTAACTCCCTGACCCGAGTGAGTGGCTTAACTTCTACATTTCTCAGCCAGCAAATGGGGATCATACCTTATTTCCTTAAATCTGAGATAGCATTAGTGGAAATGTAGAATTCTTTTATACACCATTAAGAAAAAATGCCCAAGGGTAAGGTGGTGGCACAGTGGTAACACAACTGGACTCACATGGGAAGGGTCTTAGGTTTGAATCCCAAAGACTTCCCTGAACATGCTGGATACATGCATGCCTGTGAGCCAGGCCAGCTGTGGGGTGGATACCAGCTTGAAGATCCT